CCAGATGTGATAGCTTGCCAAATTCGACAAAAAACGGTCAGAAGTGTCACGGCGTCACGGTTTTTCTTTGCTTAATACAGATTAATTAGAATAGGTTCGAATTTGGCAAGCTATCACATCTGGTAGAGTAAACAATTTTCTACAAACTGGTATACTTGTTCAATTTTTGCCAGCTCGTCTTCACTCTTTTAGACACGCTTTTTAGATAGCCTCAACATCGATTTTTCGGGGCTGTTTGTACAACAGCTGTATTTTCACAACGAATCAACGTTTAAAGCCGAGACACTTTTATAGAGAAATGTTTAATCTACTCAAGTACCTAGTTGTAATTTTCGATTATTTTCTAACTTTATTGCCATAATTCTTTGAAAAAGAGTGAAAAAAGGTGACAATTAGCTGGACAAGCCGTAGGGTTGATTGTGAGTGGAGAGAAATTATATATTTGAGATTATAAATAAATGTGAGTACACTTTTTGTGCGTGTTCATCTATTTATACTACTACTGAAAATGACCCGCTTACAATCCCATTACAACACAGTTTAGCTGAAAAATTAACTTTAACTATCAATTTTGATAAAGTCATTTAAATAATCAATTAATTACCGTTTAGCTTAATCAAGACAACTCCGATAACCTACCTTATCGAAGTTACAAGTTAGATAAGCATGCATAAAATTTTTAGGGCTCCGTGTTTATTCATATTAAAAGATCTTCTAAGAGCCCTCGACTTTCAGCCAAAAAACTTTAGAAAACCTTCACGTTTCGAGTTTTTCCAAAACAAAAAACTGTTTTAAATAGCTAAAAGTGAACTTTGTTGAATGAGCTTGTTTAAAAGATTAAATGATGACGGCGAATATTTTTAATTTCAATGTTTTCGAATGCGCTGTGGACAAAAACTCGGTTTTCAAGAAGGCCATTGTAAAGTCAAAATCAACCAAATCCAACGCAACCATCAGATAGGGCAAGATCGAAAACACTTAAGATCCACATAGATTTATTCATCAGATACTGGATAGATATCTCGACTTTTACCCATAGTGATATATAAAAATAATTATAGTTTCTTTCACAAATTGAAATTAGGAATAGTTTGTATTTCGAAAATGTAGAATTAAAAGTGCTACAGGCTACGCTATAGCACGTTGTTTCAAATTTTAAGTTTAAAAGACTTCTTCGCAAAATATCGAACGTTTAAAAAACTAGCAAAACTTACAAAGAAAACCAGCAAAATATTGACTTCATCTTCATCATCTCTTTGATGATAAGAAAACGTAATCTATTAAAAAGGAAACCTAAATATCCTCATCAATTCCATCAATCATGCGCTCTATGTTGACTGCCAGTTTGTATTTTTATTCCAAATTATGGTACACCAGTACTTGTGCTGCACACGTTTTTTAGAATAACTTATAGATTTCTGATAGACAAACGTATGTCTGCTGTTTAGCTGAAAAATTAACTTTGACTATCAATTTCGATAATGTCATTCAAATAGTCAATTAATTACCATTTAGCTTAATCAAGACAACTTCAATAACCTACCTCATCGAAGTTATAAGTTAGATAAAGTCTGTTTATAGACGTTGTGCCTTCAATAAAATTTTTATCGTGTAAGTTATAACTTCAATACACATTTTTACTTCGAAACGACATTTCTGTACGCTCAAGAAACGAAACTACTATCGGAGCCAAAACACAAGAGCAGTGGTCATTTTTTGAATAACTCAGCACCAACCACAGATGGAGACTTGCGATTTTCACTATTCGATAGCCAAGACCTGAGGCGATCTGTCTACAAGCAAAATCGATTTTTGGAACATTTTTCGAAGCCGCATTTCCAGAGGATCTTTGGGTAACCGAGTCTAAGTGACTTCTTGAAAACCCATGGTTCGGAAGCTATAGACATTTTTCCTGAAGCCTTAGCACTCTGCCGTTAGGTTTGGGACTGTCAGAAATGAATGAAAACATAGGTTATCGACTATTCTGAATCTTGTGGTAATGTTATTTTTCAGAACAAAATGCAAGAACCGAGTGAAAACCTATACTAGGTGGAACAACCCATTTCTGATTATTTTCATCAACAATTAAATAATTCATAATTCAGTCAAAATTCATCCAACCTACTTCAGAATGTCAGCAAATAGTCTGTTTTAGTCGCTCATTCTAATTCTGTACGTAAAATCAATAAAAATATTCTGTTAGTTCCGAAGTTTCCTAGAAAATCAAAGTATTTCTGTTGAACTTTACACGGTATGCCGCACATAAAATACAGTATTTGCTGACATTCTGAAGAAAGATTTGGTCAACAATTAACTCTATTTTTATCACTCAGAAAAAGTAATTTGTTCGATTATTGCTGAAACTAATTTTATTTAATTTTTCATGAAAAGTTAAGAGTAAATATGCAGTTTTAACAACTGTTTGGCCATGTATGACACAATTTTAGGCGTTTTATTTAAGACTAAAAGCTTAGCAAATGCATTTTTAGGAAAAACTTTTAAAATGATCGTTTATTTTTTCACACGGTTCAATTTTTCAACAAATTCCGTCGAAGAAAAATGTTTCGCTGGATTAACAGTGTGTATATTTTCAAGCATAACTTAAGAAATTATTGGGATCATATGCATCACTGTCTGAACCAGTAGAATGTCGAACCTGCAAAGATAAATGAATTGATTGAGATGGTGCAATACTTTATAGACATGATACAACATTGTATTTGAATTCACTTCCCAAAATAGAAAGTAAATTTTTTATTAAGCGATTTTCTTTTTGTATTGGAACTCACATTTTTCTTGGTATATTATTTTCTCTTGAAATCATTGATTGATTATAATTATTAAAACTCAAAGTGGAGTCGTTATCATCTTCATGAGAAGGATACGATGCTGCACGAGATCTATTACGAGTTGTTGTTGAACCTGCAAAACCAAAGGAATCACGAAATTTATGCATAAAATTACATTTCTAGACATTGAATTCAGCTGACCGCTTGGTTATTAATTTTAAGTAAAATGCTAATTAACACTGCTGCTATTATATTACGTCAATAATAGACTGCACAAGAGCTTCTAAACTTTACTTACGTAATATTGTTGAAGTTGTATTATCATGATGAGAGTGTTGAAAATCACTAAAGTGATTTCCACGTTGACCTAAAACAGCTAAATATAAGAGAAAACAAGTACGACTGTCCGAAGAGAAGTCAGAATGATCAACTACAAGAAAGTAATAGTAAAAGCAAAAAATAAAATCAACTGAGCCATGATTCCATTATTGGTCACCGCTAGAAGTTCTAATAAGATTCCTCAGACTTGCTTGTCTATATCTTTGTATGTCTTCTAAGCAAGCCTTACGGCAGAAATAGACAAAACAAATCGGAAAAAGACCTATAAAATTCTACTTTACCTTGTTTACTTGTTTCCTCTTATATTTGACATATCAAAATAGATCTATAAATCTCGATAGTGAATTTATCGCAATAAATAGGATAAGTATCGTGATATTGTCAATTTTTTCCACTAACATTGAGTTGTATCGCCCGACAGTTGCTTAAAAAGTCCTCATGGGAAAGATCAAAAGGAGAGAACTATAAACAAGTTTGTTAAAAAAAGTCAGGAGCAGACGACAAACATTCACTCCACATCTTGCTATCTTTTTCAGATCTCTGTCAAAGCGCTGTTTTTATCCAGATACGAATGAGTTTCGATATATCTATGCATATTGTTGATCGCGATGACTATGCTGTTTATCACATTAGTATGGAGAAAGTGTCTAAAGACGAATTAACCAATCGCAATATTTGAGCGTAACAATGATACAATAATTCGCATTTTACCATTGTTTTACGAATTCGTAATTCAGTGCGAACTGACAATAATGATGAAAAAATAACCATAAGGTGCCCCTTTTGTTCCTCTAGCCAATTCGTAAATTGCGACGAACTCGTAGACAAGAAAATTCGGGTACTCACGAATTCGTAAATCGTATTGGTCTACTATCGGCGAATTCGTGAAATGACCTTTTTGGTCACCAAGAGTTCGTATACGAATTCGTAAATTGGCAAAAATACGATAAACTGCGAATTTACGAATTCGTAGATGCCAAAGCATGCCAAAATATTCATCGATGTACACGGCATTTACCCAGGTGATTGAATCGTACTATCCGATCGTACAAGATCGTATATGAATCGTACGAAATCATATACGATTATGTACGATCTACATACGAATCGTAGTACCTGACTTGTCGTCTGGCCCGTACTGTACGATTTCATACGAAGTTGTATGATCGTATATGATCTTGTACGATCGTATTATACGATCCAGAGGACAAATCAGATACCACGATTCATATATGATTTTTATACG